TATCGAGTTCATGTTAATGATCACAATTCTTGCCAAATACAATTTTGATCGTCTAAACACGATAACTATCATAAATGATAATAAACAACATTACTCCTTGATTATAGATAAACTACTTACAAGTAAAAAGGCAGATCACAAATATTGTCAATATCTAAAAATCAATCAGTTGGCTTCGCATAGTCATTTGACTCTTAGCATACAAATCACAAAAGACTCGAATGCAAACAATGAGTAGCCCCTTTGGAACAAAATGAATATGCCATTCCTATTTTCATTGTTGCTAGACAGAACTAAATAATAGCATGCACAATATGAGAACCAAAGTACCTGACTTCCAGAGCAAAATTTTCACTTGGACTTGCATCTTCCTCTAAATTCACATGGACAACTATTGGTAGGACATTTGGTTGACTGTGCATCCGAAGCTCACCTAGGTAATGTATTGGAGAAGGCACCTTCATTTGGGACAGAAATAGGCATGCTTACTTGCAGAGGTAAAGCTATGCCTGTTGCCTTGTTGGCTAGTGCATATTGCAGTTCCATTACCCTACAGGAGGCATCCTGGTTAGAGTCAGATACCATAAGATTCTGTTGACACAGTTGTTGCATTGGTGATGAGACTAAGACATTATTCTCGTCCAACGTGCCGGGAAATGCTGAAACTGGACCAGCACCATTCTTCATGACTTGTGAGTTACCAGCAAATCTTTGAGCTTGCCAATGACTATTTCTCTATCCTAAACATAAGGAAATTAGAAACCAAGATATTTTCCAAGACACAAAGTTGAGATAAAAATCGGTAGTTGTTACCAATATATTTTGCCTATAAGACGAACTTTCAGTTCGGATAATTAACTTAATTTGGCCAAGTTACTTCACAGCAACTTCAAAAGGGGAAACAAAATACATAATAGAAACAAAGAAGAGGAGGTGGACAACTAGTGTTTTATTAAAGCACAATAGTGAAGATAAAAACATAGGCCAATATAACCAACAAGATAGGCTAGTAACTAATAACAAAATAAAGATAAAATGAGAGTCACAATTAACCAACAAAGAATATTTTATAGGTAAAACCACAATTAACCAAGACAGAAATTAAATGAAAACTCAAACTAAATAACATAATACAGTCAATGAAGAATTTGNAACAAAGAATATCTTATAGGTAAAATCCCAATTAACCAAGACAGAAACTAAATGAAAACTCAGACTAAATAACATAATACCGTTAATGAAGAATTTTCAATCTTAACCTTAAGCCTAAGCCCATTTTTCTTCTTCTTAATCACCTCTTTTTCCGCCTCCTGCACACCCACAATCTTAAAGCTTGCATTTTTCCTCTCTTACCCATAATTCAAACTTCATACAGAAAACTTCCTTCCAAAACAAAAGCCCCCTTTTAAAATCTCAAAAAAAAACCCACCTTACAGATTCATGTTTCCATGCAATTTGAAAATAGTGAAGGAGCGCAAGATTCAATTTTGATCAAATGGACGTACAAAATGTCCGTTATTGACAACTATGTAGGTATAAAAATAAAAAAAAATATTCAAAATTTTTAATTAGAAATGGCAATAAAGATAATTAATCCGACGAATAGGATGCATATATGGCTATATGTGCGTGTGTGATGAATCAGAGATCGTCGATCGAAATTCTTTAACACCCAACAAATT